CGCTATCAAGTGTCGACAGGCAAGCATTTCTCCCATTGCTCGCGAAGCTGTCAGCATACGTTGGCAGTTAAATCACCCTAGATAAATTTTGTATATTTCTGTGCCCCATTGCTGTTAACAAAGGAAAACGCCTAGTGAACGACCACCCACAGGCACCCAGACATCCTGCCACTTGCAAGCATCTGCGATTAAACTCAGCCATCGGTGACTTTCGCGTAGGCGGACAATAACCAGGCCGGCAGCTTCATTTCAACTACATCCCGCTCGCACGTTTTCTTACCGTTTTAAGGAATAGTTTGGTAAACAAGTAAAAACTTCCTCGAGCAAATTCGTATTCCGCGGACAAAGTTCCTCTGTAAACGACAGGAACCACCTCTTATGGATAAGGATTAAGTATAAATATCACCTTACCGTAATTTACTTACTACAGATTCCGTTGTAGAATGTCGGTTTGTTTTGCCTTTTGACTTATCGTTCTACAATATCTGTCAAATTGCATTAGTAGCTGTTGTGAGTTTTTTAAATGGGGAAAATACCTGTTCGTTATGCTTTTACTCTAATTTTGATTATTAGATAGAAAGTCGACATGCGACAGTGTCCAATTCGCGTGTACTCTTTGCGCATTTTTTGTTTCCTATTACCTCTAGTTCTCATTTGAGTTACTGCGCGCCAAACTTTAATAATTGTTCCTATTATTTTCCACTTTTATGCTGTCAGCTTTTTTAGTTACTTTTTTCCTTGCCCTGATATGCCCCATCCATATAACCCCTATTTATACTGGTCCCGTCTAACGCAAACGTGAGTTTTTTGTTACTATGGTAAGGTTTTTACTGAACCCGTACCCCCTTGTGATTTCAGGCTGAATTGTTGCTATCTATTTTCGCTATATAGTTTCGATAGCTGGAGTAGAACGTTTTATGCAGTTGCGATTGAAGTTTTCCAGTTTTTTTTGGGGGGAGAGGGAACTGGGAGAGTGTTCTTATACTTCACTCCAACCTCTCATGCAATAAGTATGATTATTTATCTCAAAGTCCAAGCAGCCAGAAGACCCTCAGGTAATCATAGATCATATTGTGCCCACCGGAATGAGTTTATTTGTTCGCTGAAGTTTCGGACGGCTTGACCGACTGTCCTTTGTCAAAGCGTGAACTGCCTTTATCGATCAGCAAGTTATAATTGTGACTGTACGTGTTGGCCATGGGCTGATCGATTTTTTCCCGTCGTTGCTTGGCCTCCCGTGGGAATTTTGGCATAGCTACTGCTACTGCTATCTGACTATGTCTCTGATGATGAATCCGCAACGGACCTCGAAACGTCAGGCGAATAAAAGTATTGTCCCAGCACTCGAATCGTCGTCATCGTCGTCTTCTTCTTCTTCTCCTCAATTTTGGCATAACTTGACGGCAGAGGATGCTGTTAATACTGCTTACTTTCCCGGTAGATTCGTCTCAGGGATTTATTTCTTTGCAAGTCCTAATTTCAGTTTGACCTGGTCCTGTCCTTTACTCACGTCATGGCGTCCAGATGTCTCTTGAATTAGCGTCTGAGTACCATGCCTCAAGCGTTAAGCTTTCCGCCTTTGAGGTTCCCCGGCCTACGATAGTCGCTCCTTGAATATCGAAGTTGTGGCCAGTCTCTCCGATATATGTTGCAGGCTGCGAGTTTGGTACTAGCCTCCGGACCGCCACTCTGTGTTCGTGTAGGCGGGTGTGCAATTTGCGTCCTGCTTCTCCAACGTAATTGCACCTCCAGCGTTGCCCCTGGCCAACACGTACAGCCACGACTTTACATTGCTGATTGATAAAGGCAGTTCAAGCTTTTTCAAAGGACAACCGGTCCAGCTGTCCGAAACTTCAGCCAACAAATAAACTAATTCCGGCGAGCATAATATAACCCATGCTACTAATACTGGAATTTTGACTCATGCAAACTTGAATCCAGAGGTAAACTGGGCTGTGAAAATCAGAGTCGCGGTCAACTTACGGCATCAGAGATTTCGTGGGGAAAACCAGAGGTCCAGTTGTCACGGAGACGAGCTGCCCCAGGCCAACGCGTCTGCTCTCCCGAATATTACCGTGCAGGAAGTCATACTTGATGATGTAGAAACTGCGCTCCGTCAAGACAATTATACGTTCGTGTTCATTGTTCCAATGGTCGATCCTAAAAACCCACAACAAAGACTTCGTTTAAAGGCTGCGTTGGAGAGGCGGTTGTCAGCAGCACAACAAAAGGCAAAATATACCAAGCTGATTTTACGGCAGGGGTAGCTGAAGGCCCATGTAGTCAGAGCCGCAGTTAACACAGCAGAACGGAGCATGCGGGATAACTACAGACAAATAGGAGGGAGGACAAACTAATCAGTAGTTCAGCATATCCCGTGTTCAACCCGAGAAGACCGAAGATCCTGATTGGCATCTAAGTTTTTTCATTTAGAATTTGAATCAAGCGTTCTGCCATCTAAGTTACGGGTCTGCATCCTGTAGACTTCGATTACCTCCCCCACAGCTAAGACAGATTAGGATAGACCAGCCTTTTACAGAGAAAAGGAGCGTATAAATGATCTGGGCAAGCAGTTATTTCGTCAGTGTCCACTCTTGCGCGCCTTAGCTCAACATGCTCCTAGGCGCTTTTGTCCCCTGCATTAAATCAGCTCACGAAAAACGTCGATTGGTCGACGCCAAGACGCGGGTGGCTCCAGCAGCG